CGATTCACTGGATTTGGCAATAATTGGTCTCCGTCAACTGGTTCAGATCAGCCAACCCTAAACTGAGTCTCTTAATATTAACTGTGATAACATATTCCAATCCATATTGTCTAATTGACTGGTTTACAATGAAAGAATGACAAAATGTTTCTTATTGGCTGAGCGATAGCGAAGCCTGTTACTCCAGTGGGGTTGAAAAGTTTTTCATGTCTGTCTGTCTGTCTGTCTGCACTGTGGCAAAAAGCTACAGAAAATTCTGTAAACAGCTTTTTGGGAAATTTTCCGTACCCCCTTATCAATTCCCTAGGCTCTTACAGTATTTTCCGTAGGACCGCACAGTATTCTCCGTAAGACCTTACAGTGATCTCCGTAGGACTAAAGTCTTTCCCGGGCCTACGGAAAGACTGTGCGGACTTACAGAAATATTGTACGGCCCTCGGAAAACTGTAAGACCTACGGAGAATATTGATAAGAGGGCTACGGAGAATCCTGGCAAAAAAATTAACAGAATTTTCCGTACCTTTTTGCCACAGTGTGTCTGTGTGTCTGTGTGCACTACTCCTCCTGAACGGCTCGGCCGATCTCGGTGAGATTTTGCACACTTTTTGGGTATGTCCTTGGCTCGGCACACGCAAAATTTCAATACCCTAGCTCATCTAGTTCAGTTTTTATAGCCGAAAAAACCCTAAAAAAGGGCCCAAAAAATCGAGTTGTCTGCGGGCAGATGCCTTCTGTCTTGAGGAAAGGGGGGTCTGGGGGGCAGGGCCCCCAGCCTTGCCAAGTTCAAAAGTTTCAAGGGTCAAGATCGTGTGATCTGAGGGGCGTCAGGGGGTGGAGCCCCCCAGCATGCAACAAGCTGGAAGAAACCGACGATGGACAAGCCATTGCCTACCGATGGCAGGCTAGCGCCGCAGGCCAAGGTAGGTGTTACGCCAGGCGTGGATTGTCGAAACTGGCGCAGCATCGCGAAGCCTGTTACGACAAGACACGGTCTGGCGTACACCTACCTTGTATATTACTTATAAAATTGTGAATTCATTAGTTTAGAAAAAAGATATATCGAATAGTGACCCAAGCATACGAGTAGCAAATTAAGCGATTCAATGCTGGCAATTGAATGTTGGAGTTGGTATTACTGGTAACAGTGTTTTGTCATAAGGCTGTGCCGATGTTCACTTGTCTGTAGACTGGAACTGTGTAAAGGCTGTGCTGCGTGAAGTGGGATAGAAAATACAGGTTAAGGTATGCACCATGTGCTGTTAAAAACTGTGTGATTATTCTACCCTTTTTCCTTTGGATACTACAAACATACCGAACTACATAGCAAGGAGGAATTATTAACAGGTTATGGGCCCAGATCATCGCTTGTGGTAAATATCAAATACAGGTGGTGACAGGCACATTATTTTCTGTTCCAGGTCAGATAGCACAGAGTTGCACGAGCTTGTGATGGATGAGACGAGCAATATTGTGAAGCTGAAGGATGCTTCCACATATCAGTTGTGGAAAATGGAATTGGACATCCTGTTCGCAGCTCAGGGCCTAACTAGCATGGTAAAGGGGACTGAAGCCAAACCTACTACCCCTGTAGGTGAATCTAAATGGAAAACGTCTGACGCTAAGGCCAAGAAGCTAATAATGAACACCATCGATCAGAACATCAAGCAGTACGTATTGACATGTGAAACGTCAAATGATATGATGGAAAAATTATCCAATCTGTTTGTAGTAAGCTCTGATCGACAAAAGTTGTCATTGATGAAAGCCCTGTTCGACTTTAAGTTTGACAGCAGTAAGTCTATGATAAAAAACATAGCGTTGCTACAAAACACCTGTCACCAGCTTAGAGGATTGACTGAGGTAGACGATGATATTATTATTACTAAAATCCTGAATTGTCTGCCGAAGACCTACGACAATTTTCAGTCAGCATGGGACAGTGCCACCAACAAATCTCTTGATGAGCTGATAATGAGATTACAGAACGAAGAGGCTAAAATGAAGAGTGACAAGGAGACTACTAATACTGTGGCTTTCAATACATACTCAAAGAAGAAGAGGGAGGTCAAATGTTACAAGTGCAACAAGTTTGGCCATATTCAAAGATTTTGTGATCAAGATTCTCAAACTAGGAAGTGGAAACCTAACTCTGGTAAACACTCAGATAAACTGCAAAGACCCTCAACAAGTGAGTCAAAGCAACAACAGCCATTCTTCCAAAATAAGGATATGTTTCCACCTTGCTTCATTTGTGGCTTTACTAACCACCATAATAAGGATTGTTATCATAGACATGCCTATTTTAAATGGAAACGTGAGCAGAGTGAACGTGAGGGCAAGGATACTTCACAACAAGGTTTCAAAAGGAAGCATAACGGAAAACCACATTGGATGAATGATAATGAAGGCACCAACAAGAAGGCTAAGAATGATAAGCTAACATTCATGGCTGCATCATCAGATAAACAAGTGAGTAACACAGGGAATAGTAAACCTGTTGTTGTCAAGGAGAATCTGTCAGGGATTCGTAAACCTGAGAGCAAAGGGAATAGTAAACCTGTTGCTGTTAGTGATCCAGGGATTCGTAAACCTGTGAGCGAAGGGAATAGTAAACCTGTTACAGATGTACATGATAGACCAGGGATTTGTAAACCTGGAATTGCTGGTCTAGCCAGTTGTGAATTAGAAGGTCACATTGATAAAACATTCATTGTGGATAGTGGGGCTAATAGTCACATGACTGGAAGTGAGGCGGTATTGAAAAATATGGTACCAATGAACTCATGTGTACAAACTGCTAATAGACGAGGGAGATCTATGACTACTTATGGAGTTGGTGATGTTGAAACTGAGAATATGAAATTAACTGATGTGCAATTTGTTCCAGACTTAAGGAAAAACCTTCTCTCAGTAAGCAAGATTACAAACCACAATGGTTCAGTCTACTTTGACAACGCAGGTGTCAAGATATTAAAATCCTCCATACCCATTGATCCTGAGAATGTCGTCCTGGAGGGCATCAAAACCGATCGTGGATTATTTCAAGTAAATTTGGACTCTGAATTACTTGCCCTATGTGCTAATGCAAATCACTACTGGCATAGGATCATGGGTCATCTGGGATCCAACAATTTAAGAAGACTGCCACACATGAGTAGTGGAGTGGTTTTAACTGAAGATCTAAGTGGACTGGATGACTGCTTGGTATGCTTGGAGGCAAAACAGACAAAATTGCCACATAATTCAGTAAGGAGAAGAGCAAAAAGGCCTCTAGAGATTATTCACAGTGATGTGGTAGGACCAATTAATCCAACAACGTATGATGGAAAGAAATATTTTGTTACGTTCTTATGTGACTTTACTCACTATGGAACTGTCTACATAATTCATCAGAAAAGTGAAGTGTTTGAATGTCTGAGAGAGTATGTAGCTCAAGCATCAAACTTCATTGGACTACCTGTGCACATGCTCAGATGCGACAATGGTGGTGAATATTGTTCTACAAAGTTAAGAGAGTGGTGCAAAGAACAAGGAATTATAATTGACTATACAGTACCACGATGCCCACAGTTAAATGGAAAATCGGAAAGGTTCAATCGCCTCATTCTTGAACGAGCCAGAGCACTGCTCTTTGACTCTGATCTAGGAAGCGAAATGTGGGGAGAAGCAGTTCAGAGTGCTGTGTACATAATCAACCGGAGTCCTACATCTACAGTGGAAAAACTACCTGCAGAGCTATGGTTCGGTGAGCCCCAGAACTTGAGCAATATGAAACTCTTTGGTTCTCTTGTTTCTGCTAAGGAACTCAACCATCTGAAGAAACTAGACAAGAGGAATCATGTTGGATATTTTGTGGGCTATGGACTCAATAGCTACAGGATTTGGGATGCACAAAAACGGAAGATATTCATGGCAAGAGATGTCAAGTTTCTCACTCACCCTGCTGAATCATCTAACATGATTAAGAACCAGCAGTTCTATGTCACTCATGGCGATGAAGATGAGAATGAAGAAAATGAGGAACAAGGATTTATGAGTGATGGAGAAAATTATGAAAGAGAGTCCGATGAAGTCAGCAACCAGGAAGAAAATAAAATTATGGAGAAGAGTCTGAAGTAGCTAGCAACAATGAGGAGGATGAGAATCTGGATGATAACACAGATTTGCTCAACATGTACCATCTAAGAGATCGTCACAGAATAACAAAGCCTGCTAAGTATGAAGACTTCGTGACATATCTGACTGAGGGAGAACTGACCTATGAGTCGTGCATTGATGATCCCAAATGGAAAGCTGCGATCGAAGAGGAAAGAAGTCGTTAACTAGAAATGGAGTATGGAGACTCGTGGATGAAAAAGAAGCCATTGGTAAAAATGTTATCACATCGAAATGGGCTCTAACATATAAGTCAGACGGGAATCCAAAGGCCAGACTAGTGGCTCGAGGTTTCCAACAAAATGACGACTTTGATGACACTGAAATTTATAGCCCTGTGGTGGATACTACTAATCTCAGAGCACTGTTTGCACTGGCTGCTCAGAACAATCTTCATATAAAGACTTTTGATGTGAAGACTGCGTTCTTAAATAGCAGTCTGGAAGAAGAAGTTCTTATGAAAGTACCAAAGGGTTACTATCATCCGGGAAAAGTGTGTGTTCTGCAAAAGGCACTTTACGGCCTACGTCAGGCACCTCAAAGATGGTACCACAAGTTGTCATCTTTCTTGCTGGAAAACGAATTTATTCAATTGAAGACGGATAAATGCATCTTCAGAACAAAAGACTGTAAACTCATTCTGGCAGTTCATGTGGATGATGGTATTCTGATGGGCAAAGATGAAAACCTTATGAGTCGTCTCTTCCATGCGTTGAGCCAAAAAATTTTAAATGAAGGTGTACCATAATCCAACCAGCTACCTGGGAATTCAAATATCAAGGAGCAGTAAAGGCATATTCCTATCTCAAACTAAATACATCAACGAGATACTAAGAAGGTTTGATATGGCAGATTGCAACCCTATGCCAACTCCTCTTGAGATCTCCAAACACGGGTATTCTCAGCATCAGTATTCATCTCAAGAAATAAGGAATTTCCCATATACTGAAGTAGTTGGCTGTCTGGTGTACCTCTCAACTAAAACCAGACCTGATATAAGTTTCGCTACCAACTATGTAAGCCGCTACAGGGGCAATCCTAAAGGAGAAGACCTGGTGAATGTCAAAAGAATACTTCGTTATCTTCAAGGAACCAAAAATCTAGGACTATTGTTCCCATCCACATCATCTCCTGGCGTGGTGTGTTATACAGACTCTGACTTTGCTGGGTCAGGTCCAGAATTTAAAATGATGAGTACATCTGGCTACGTCATCTATGTAGGAGGTGGACCTGTCGTGTGGCTATCGAAGAAGCAGGATGTAGTTGCCACCTCAGTGTGCGAAGCCGAGTACATTGCTGCGGCAACATGTTGTAAAAATCTTCAGTATCTAAAATCCTTCCTCTATGAATTGATTTGTGAGCAAGTTCCAGCTAGTGTCAAGATTGATAACGCTTGTGCCTTAAGACTGATTAAGACTGGTCAAATGCGTACTGGTACTAAACACATACTTGTGAAATTCTACTTCATTAGTGAAGCTCTACGAAGTGGAATGTTTAGAATCTCACACTGTCCGTCCAAGGACAACATTGCTGATATATTTACTAAACCCTTACTTGTTAATAAATTTAAGTATTTCTGCTCAAAACTTGTTACATCAAATTTGTGATTTGTAATGTTGCTTATACTACTGATATGTTATAGATATGTTATAAAGTTTATTTTTTTTGTTAAACTATTACGAACACTGTTAAGGAGGTGTGTTGGAGTTGGTATTACTGGTAACAGTGTTTTGTCATAAGGCTGTGCCGATGTTCACTTGTCTGTAGACTGGAACTGTGTAAAGGCTGTGCTGCGTGAAGTGGGATAGAAAATACAGGTTAAGGTATGCACCATGTGCTGTTAAAAACTGTGTGATTATTCTACCCTTTTTCCTTTGGATACTACAAACATACCGAACTACATAGCAAGGAGGAATTATTAACATTGAATATTACTCGACTGAAGGATTCGCACTGGTGTGGCATCAGGGAATTGGTGACGACAGAGGGTGCTTCATGAAGACAAACAGGAATATGTATACAGTAATTGAGTCTCGATGGTTGTCTGTAGATTTCAGTGTACTAGTCACAAAAACTACATTTACTTCAATGCCAAACCTACACTTTCATCTAGAGCTATGCAATTTGGGGCGAAACTTTCCAAGTTGAGATTTATGCGCTTCCCTGTGGTTTTCACTGCGCTGACTTCAATTTTGACTTCGAAATTGTCCCCAGACCCAAAACTTGACTGATTTTGGGTCAAATTTTTAGAATTGAATTGTACATTGATTCTTGCAGTTTTTTGAGTGCTGATAACGAAAACCACTTCCATTTTAACACCAGACCTATATTTTCATCCCATATTAAATCATTTTGGACCAAAAATTTCAAGTCGAGTTTTATATTGTTTCCTTCAGTTTTTAATGTGCTGAACTCGAAAATGACTTCCAAATTTTTCTCACTCTCACACGTTACCAAATTTTAACCAATTTTAGTCCAAAATTTTTAAATTGAGTTTGACATTGGTTCCAGCAGTTTTTGATGTGCTGATAACGAAAAGCACTTCCAATTTCACTCCAGACTAATATTTTTATCCGAAATGAGGTCATTTTGGACCAAAATTTTCAAGTCGAGTCTTATATTGTTTCCTGCAGTTAACTCAAAAATGACTTCCAAATTTTTCCCAGACTCACGCTTTACCAAATTTTGACCGATTTTGGTCCAAAAATTTTAAATTGAGTTTGACGTTGATACCAACAGATCTTTGTTTGCTTATAACGAAATGCCCCAGACTTTCTTTTCACTTAATTTGAGCCCATGAGTTGCACATTTCGTCTACTCAAGCTAAGTCCGAAGTGCATCAACTATGTCAATTCGCATCGCTCAGCCACACTACGCGCCCACACTCAACGGCGCGTACCCCTAGTTTAGACAGTGAGCGTAGATAGCTGGATGGGGGTATCGAATTGGCAGCTTGAATCCCATCTTGCTCAGCAGTGAACGCTGTCACAAGAGGAGCATTAAGTTGTCCCTCACAAAGGTCAAGCCGCCCAGGCATCTTACATGCCAGGCCAGTAAGCAAACACAGGTAGCCAACGAATGTGACATCACATTCGTTTGAACGTGAAAACTACGATGTCAGATTGAACGTGACAAACAGAGAAAATTCATACTCAAACGAATGTGACACACCGCACCGCTCTGTCACATTACTTCGGGTGTGACACGAAATCAGCAGGCAAACTGTCACATTAAAACGAATGTGACACATGGTACCCATTGACATACATCGTGTCACATCCAAACGAATGTGACACCCATATGCTGTCACGTTCGTTTGGATGTGACATGCCCTAATTGTCACATTCAAACGAACGTGACACGCCCCGGACACGCCATAAGAGTCAGGTTATGGCGTGTCACGTTCAATTGAATGTGACAATTAGGGCATGTCACATTCAAACGAACGTGACAGCATATGGGTGTCACATTCGTTTGGATGTGACACGATGTATGTCAATGGGTACCATGTGTCACATTCGTTTTAATGTGACAGTTTGCCTGCTGATTTCGTGTCACACCCGAAGTAATGTGACAGAGCGGTGCGGTGTGTCACATTCGTTTGAGTATGAATTTTCTCTGTTTGTCACATTCCTTGGCTACCAGTGAAGCCTTTTCACCTAAAGAAAATAATCGTCAAAAAACAGAAACTTGCACTGCCGAACACCTTGTGATTTCTACACAACTAACGAAAATTCGTATCTCTTAAACACTAAATGTTTTCTTGATATAAATGTCAACATTTTGCAGATACGACTTCTTTACCATGTACTTGCATTAAGAAAACCCTATTTTTGAGTTCAGGATATGTGGGATCCATTGAGTTACATTTGAGTTCCTTTGTGATCCACTTTTAAGCAGAAGCATTTTGTTTACAAGTCCAGGTCTTGAGATTGTCATCGACTCCTCCTCCTCGTTCTCCGGAAAATCATCCACTATGATTCCGCACTTTTGGCGGAGGACATCGACTGTATTCTCGAAATCTCCGTCTAAGATTGCCTCCAGGTCGGCAGTCCTCAAGACCCTTGGCCCAGCCCTCAAGACAGCCGAGGAGAGAACGGAACTCTTGCTCATTTCTCTTTCGCTCAGCTCCTTGTGCCACTGCTTCAAGTGCTTCTTAAGGTTTTTGGTGTCGATGTAGACAGGGCACAGCTGGCATGCTCTGTCAGACGTTTGAGGTTGGTGGCGGTAGCACAAGCGCCACTGAGAACAAAAAAACGTAAGTATGAGAATAGAGCCTTGAACGCACAGAAATAAAAAGCTCAAGAATACTTACGCTGTCTGCCCTTTCTTTAGAGGAAACCGTTGTCTTTGTTTTCTTTTTTCTCTTTGGACCCCTCTTGTGCCTGGGCCGCACCATCACCATGTCATGTTTCTTCTTCATTTTCATTCAAATTGTCAGATTGATCTTCATTTTCATTTTCACGTTCTCGAGGAACGACAGAGCCGGCCTGTGGACAAAAATGTAGGTCAGTAAAAAAAAATCACTTTTCACACATGGCTTTAGAGCGTCTTAAAATACTTACGTCCTCTGACGCACTCTCCGAGTTTGACTTTCTTGCCTTCCTTTTTTTAAATTCTTCTTCTTTGGAGACATAGTTTCCTCGAAATGGTCTGTCTCACTTGACGAACTTGATTTAACTGTCCCCAGGCAAGAGGTCGCTACTTCCTTCTGCAGAAGGAAAATATCCTGTTTAATAACTGCACCGTGCAATGGCAGGACATAAAATACCTTGAAAGATAAAGGACAGATGTCAGAAAAAATCATTTCAAAATGTGTTTTACATTTAAACAAGGTAGGCTTACGCCAGACCGCGTCTTGTCGTAACAGGCTTCGCGATGTCTCGCTGCCTGTTCCTCCAATCCGCCTGGCGTACCTACCTTGGCCTGCGGCGCTAGCCTGCCTTCGGCAGGCAATGGCTTGTCCATCGTCGGTTACTTCTAACTTGACGCATGCTGGGGGGTTCCGCCCCCCAGACCCCCCTTCTTCAAGACAGAAGTGATCTGCCTGCAGAAAACTCGATTTTTCGCCGTTTTTTAGGTGTTTTTCGGCTATAAAAACTGAACCAGTTGAGCTAAGATAGTGAAATTTCGCGTGTGCCGAGCCAAGGACAGGCCCAAAAAGTGTGGAAAATCTCCCCGAGATCGGCCGAGCCGTTCAGGAGGAGTAGTGCGGACACACACACACAGACAGACAGGAAAAACTGTTCAACCTCAATGGAGTAACAGACTTCGCTATCGCTTAGCCAATTAAGAATATTTTGTGCAGGAAGAAATCACAATGAATTTCGGTGTACAAATCCCACAAAAAAGGCAAATTTCAATAAATTTCAGTCGAATTTCGATGAATTTCAGTCGAATTTCGATGAATTTCAGGCAAATTTCGATGAATATTAGTCAAATTTTGATGAATTTGCGCGCTGCCGGCGGTGCACCGCGCAGCTTCCGAATGACCCACTCCATCCTGGCCCCACTGCGGGCAGCCCTTCTCGCCACGCACTCCGAGTACTCGCAAGAAATTGCTGTCTCCTGCGAGAACTGTAGAGTGGCACAGCGAGGCCGGTTGCGACCACAGCGTGACTGAGATGGGGGAGTCACCGAAAACACGCTGCACCTCCCTCTGCACAAACTGAAGAGGCAGCTCGTCGAGTCCCGCCCCGATGAGAGGTCCCGACAACGCAGGCACGTTGAGCTGCAGACACAGGTCGAGGGCGCTCTCCAAGGATCGAGAGCCATCTGCTGGATCAGGCTTGTCACAGCTCCGAGCCTTGGTGACCGTGGCCAAAATAACGCGGTGACGTCTCCGGAGAAGGCCAACGTCGCCAATGCAGAGCTGCTGGCGCTGAAGCTCCTCACGTCCTCCATAGCGGCGCGTAACCGCGTCGGCGAAGCCTTTCCGCATCAGCAAGTCTTGGCCCACGCAATGGATGAGGGCATGATGGGGTGGAGCCGCGAGGGCATCCCCGTAGAGGAACTGCACGGGCATGCTGACAGAGCGCTGAGGCGTGCACGGGCAGCGAAAGCAGATCGTTGAATGATGCTGCCGCTTTACTTTTAAAATTGTTTATTGTTCTTTCACATGACCCTTTACAGCATGAGTATACTTGCGACGTACCATTACCGTCATTTTTTGATTTACAATTTTTATGATTACTTTTTAAGTTTTAAGCTTGCTGTACTTAACAAGGAAAATTTTGTAAAACCTTGTTCTTGATGGGGTTAAACTTAGCAACAAAAGCGCACTGCTTTGGCCACAACGTAACGTAATACTTTATTAGGCCGCAGACAGTACACACACTGTACAAAAGCAATTGCACACCGAGGCACACTTAAAACTAGTTACAGAGGTTTAGGCTGTTTGGAATACAAAACAATTGCAAAAACAATACAAGAACATGTTGAAATGGCAATACCAAGCAGCTTTTACACGCTGTAACAACTTAAACCTAAGTGCTGGAACATGCACTTTTGTGCTTAATGGCAGATTAAGCACACTTTGGGGACGGGGATGCCTGGTGCTGGGAGTTGCAGGGCTGCAACCACGGCAGTGCCGACAGTGGCAGGTTGC